GAGCAGGGAGCCCAATGTGGGACTCGATCCCAGGACCCCGGGATCATGACCTGAGCCGAAGGCAGACGCTTAACGACTGAGCCACCCAGGCGCCCCAGAATAAAGTAATTTTCATATTTTGATATACATAAGCACTTTCCTTATAATACTTATGACTGATTGATCAGGATACCTCTTTAAGGTTCAGTTTACTCTTCTATTCAATGGAGATCATAAAACACATCCCAGAGGGTTATTTCTGGAGATAAGAAAGATAGTAGAAATAAAGGGATTGGTGCTCAGTTTCAAGTAGTATGTACTTAGTTGCTGCTATGATTAATCGTTGTAGCAATAGTACATAAATGGAGGTGGGAAATGTTTCTGTGCTTTCAGGTATATAGTCAACTTTGAAATATGTTAGATGAACTATGGGCATTCTAATTGTAGGCAGATACAGATCTCTGCCAAGTTAGGTTCATTAGAAATAAAATATTTTTAAAATATGGTTACTTCTAGGGGAGTTTAGTTATGTTCTTCTATTTTTAGTCATATTTTGACTAGATTCATTAATTCTAGTTTACTTGATGTAATCAGTTTCCTGCCAAAAGGAATGTCACACACTCAAATCTTCTCTTTTCTGAGGGTCTATAGTAGGATTGATGAAATTTTTTTGTCCCCTAGCTCCTTAGACTGCTGTGAACAATTATATTCTTTTTAGCTGTCTGGACTTTTATTTGTGCATATACACATAACAAAAGTGAGATCACACTTTATGTACTATCTTATAACCTTTTAAAAAAAATTTAAGTTAGGGCGCCTGGGTGGCTCAGTTGGTTGAGCGACTGCCTTCGGCTCAGGTCATGATCCTGGAGTCCCGGGATCGAGTCCCGCATCGGGCTACCTGCTCAGCAGGGAGTCTACTTCTCCCTCTCCTGCTCCCCCCTCTTGTGCTCTTTCTCTCTCTCTCTCTCTCTCTCTCAAATAAATAAAATCTTTAAAAAAAAAAAAATTTAAGTTAATGTGTATATATCTATCCCATAATTTTTAATAGTTGTGTAATATTCCATTGTATGGAATTACCTAATTGATTAGACTAATCTGTTTCAGTGTTTTGCTATTCATTTTAAAATGCGTCATTAATTTGACAATTTTTGATTGAGTGCCTAATAGGTACCAGGCACTGGGCTAGGCTTTGGGGATGTAATGTTGAACCTGTCAGGTATGTTGTCTGCCTTCGTAGGAGTGTGTAGCCTAATTGGGAGTTAGACAAATAAACAATGATTTGAAGGCATTTAAGAATTCTGCAGTGCCTCAGGGTCATTTGTTCAGCATATAAATTGAATAAAAATTGTTACTTTAATAATAGTGCATGAGAAATTAGGTTTTAAGTGACCTAAAGTCCCTGTCAGTATGTTCTCATTTGGGAAGAATTTATCCATTGCCAAAACAGATCATTTTCATCAGCAATTTAAGATAAAAAGAAAATAATGATTTAGTAATTACAGTTTCTAAAATATCTATATACTCATACATTTGTTTGCAGCAAGCTGACTTTTCATTCCTCCTGTTCCTTCTCTAGTTATTATTTACTGAGTACCTACAATATTCTAACCATTTAGGTTTCTAATGTATTTTACTATGAGTCACATGCACTTCTTAGAGATGGTTCCAGAATTTTAATCTGGTATACCTTAAGTATCTGTTGCTTTCTTAATAAACGTTGATTCTTCTCATGTTTGCTGAAAATCACTCAAAAGACTAAAAACTCTGGAAGTCCTTTAAATATAAATCTAAATTTTGGTAGTATCAAACTGAGAAGGATTAAATACAGTAGTTCTTTTCTTTGTCACATTAGGACAATTAAGAGAGTAATTCTTGGTAGTGAATGAATTCATCTATGTCTTAGGCACTTCCCTAGGACATTTGTATTCTTATGAAGGAAAAACAAATCATAGGTTTTTTTTTTAGTATATGTGCTGCCGAAGCGAGCACCATAGGTTTTTTTTTTAAAGAGTACCTAATCAATGTTCTTTGTGAAATATAATTCTTAAAACAAAAGCTCTTGGAGCATTACACAGAAATACTGACATAATTCCTGCATGTCTCAGGCTGTAGATGCGAGCACTTTAAAAACGCTATTTCCATTCTTAAAGTTTTTGTAAGTGCTGTGAAATCTCATTTATATATGAATGTTTTTCTCCCTAGCTTTGTTGACTGGGAATATAAGCTGCTGGTCATTCTGTGCTGTCAGTTTGTTCTTTATATAGTGGCACTTTGATTACTTTTTTTTCCTTAAAACAGATCTTGGTTATGGTAGGTGTTGTTTGATATAATTAAAAACATTTTTCCCAGGGGCGCCTGGGTGGCTCAGTTGGTTGGGTGTCCAACTCTTGATTTCGGCTCAGGTCATGATATCAGGATCACGAGATTGAACTCCAAGTGGGGCTCTGCACTGCACGTGGAGCCTACATATGGTTATCTCTCTCCCTCTCCCTATGCTCCCAGTCCCCCGTGTGTGCTCTCTTTCTTTCTAAAACAAACCGACCATTTTTTCTGACTTACATGGTAGGCTTAGCTATTTGATAGGAAGCTAGGTAAATAATATTTTGAGACTATTTCACTATTCAGCCCACACTCAAGTTTCTTTCCAGTACATAGCTGCACACACGCACACAAACACACACACACATATCACTTCTTGAACACTGTCTCAGCTCTAAGCTTGAGGCTAGGTGTACAGAGATATACACAAAGATGAAAAAGATGTGCTCACTGCTCTTAAGTAGCTCACACATTTAGTGGTAAGAGAAACATGTAAATTAGTGATTACATACTATATAATAAGTACAATAAAAGTAGATTAAGGAGAACTAGTGTAGTCCCAATTTGTTCTGTATTTATTTTTCCTATTTTTATATAAAAATCTTCGGGAGGGGCGCCTTGGTGGCTCGGTCGTTAAGTGTCTGCCTT